GCGGTTGGGTGGGGTGGGTCGGGGGGGGGGGGGTGCAAGGCTAAGGAATCAATGTGAGTGACACACACTATAAAAGTCTATTAAATATACAATAGTAACCGACAAACAAGATCAGGATGTGAGGCACTGGCAGACTAGATACAGAACAAATACTTAATTATGGTTGAACTAAAAATAAAGACAGTAAAGTTACAGATTAAACAGACAGAAGTATTGACAGGAAATGAAAGGTCCAGTGTGTGGGATTTAGAGGCATCTAGCGGCGTTCAGTTGGTTGCAGGTTGCAACCAGCTCCCTATACAGATAAGAAGGGCTCATTCTAAGAAAATGCGACAATAATTACTTTCAGTTGAATGACTGATGAAAACCTGATAATGAATATTAAATTCAATGTCTGCCAATAAATCCCCCTAAATCCTACACACACTGGTCCAAAGGGATGAAAAGGAGATTCAACTAAAGCACGTCAGCAAATATTTGGTTAGCGGTGCGTGGAGAAGGTTTTGCAGCGGAAATGTTTTGGTGATTACGAGAGCAGTTGAGTAATTGATTCATTGTTGAAGTCAGTTATTACACAGAAAAATGCCAAACATTCACGTCTTCTCACTTCTCAAATGTTTATATTTGCTGCTTTTTCCCGTTTAGTGTCAATGTAAATTAAAAGGTTTGTATAGTTTGGACTGTTGGACGGACAAAACGAGCAATCTGAGGGCATCGCTTTAGGCATGACAGGCCTTTTTTAGTATTAGTATTTAGTATTTTATAGATTAAATGATGAATCAAAATAAATATCAATAACTAAAATAATCAATCGTTGCAGATCTACAAAGTTTGCAAAATAAATTGACATCTTATTTGTGAGAAAGTGTGCATATTCTCCAGCACACAATTTACACTCTGAGGTAGTCCAAGCTATGTTTAGTACACCAGTTAAAGATGTAACCAAACAAAAGACAATGGCACAGCCTACTGGACATATTATGAAATGCATTTAAGTGTATCCTGTCAGCACAGTTTACCGTAAACTATCATACTGCACCTACTTGGAGAAGTATATACTTCCTAATTGTAGATCCACATGGAGAGAAAAAGGAAATACATTTAGTATAAGTTACAACTGGAGACACACTTTAAAATGTTGACTTATTTCAAATGCAGTTTGGTGCATACAAATCTATTTTTGATACATTTTTATAAATGTTTAATGCATTCCAGATGACAAATTATTACTACACAACAGATATAAATGTATCTCAGACTTCTTATATAGTGTTAAAGGCACGTCTGGTTAGTTACATCCACATCTACATGTAACCGCAAGGGGGGGGGGGCTCTCTGTGACTGAACTGCAGTTATTTTGTGTATTTGTTTGTTTGAACATATACTCAAAAAATGTAATATATGGGTTTAGGCACTTCATCTTTGTTTTACCATGCACTGCAAATGTTGCAGGTATAAATTATTTTATGTAATCTTACATTGTCTGAAATATAAACTAATGGAATAGTTTGAAAGTAGAACAATTTAGAAAGGCTTTTCATTAAATGTACGCAGATAAGATAATTAGCTAAAGTTTGCTCCGTGACTCTGTGGCATTGCAAACGCGTGTGGTGCAGCTGTCACTCAAAGCCTACCTTTATTGTAGTGGGGGAGAGGAGTTTCTAGGTCAAACGGAAACTGCAAACCCATGCAACGAATTCGTATCAATGTTTTATGCATGATAAGAAATAGGAACGTTGTGGTTGCTCCATTCAGCAGTGGGATGGACAGGACAAGTGAATGGCGCATGCGCAACAGGCAACCATGGCCAACGTAATATTTTACGTACTGTTTTCAACGTAGAGCTGTGCTATGGTTGGGTGCTAAGCTATCTTTTACAGTCTCATGTAGCATTAATAACCACTGTCGCTGTATGGACGTTATAAAGTGGTGCCAAAGGATACTGCCTTTACTTAAATGAGAGCTACATTTATGTCCTCTATGAACCCGGAAGAACAGGTTAGTGGGAACTGGGAAGGAAGCGCTTCACGCGCTCTTTTTAGTTAGCAGGTTAGCGTCTTTAGGAACAATAAAACACCTAAATAGTTTGGTTGCTTCGATTGCACATCGTTCCCTGACCAGAGTAGTGTTCAAAAACAATAACACCAGTAACTCATGTCTTTGACAGCCATGGAGTTTCTCCCGGTACTTGACCCACTAGATGAACCCAAAGAAGGAATATGGTTAGTACATTCAGATCATTTAATTGCACTTGTGATGTACTTAGCTAACCTGTTATCCTGCTGACATTGTTTTGTTTTGTCAACAGGTATTCTTTGATACCCAGAGGTGCTGCTCCAGGTGTCAGTGTGGGTCACACCTGCACGTTTATTCCATCTGGAGATGAAGGAAGAGGAAGAATCTTTATTGTTGGGGGAGCCAACCCCAGCGGCAGTTTCTCACATTTGCACATCATAAATCTAGGTAAAAGAAAGTTAATGACAGTATATGTTTCACCGTTACGGATAAAGCTCCCAAAGACCCACAATTAGGGGGTCAAGCATCGTGCACAGTCACTTGTCACAGCTATGGGTAAACACATGCATCATTCGTTATATACTTGGAAGGGTCATTATTGTGTTATTTGTTGCATGTTTGCCCTTTCTGACTCCACCAGATAATCATGAATGGGACATCCCAGAGTGGGAGGGTTTGGAGTCGCGGTATGAACACTGCAGCTTTGTGCCAGAGAGCTACCCTCAGAGCCTGTGGGTGTTTGGAGGGGCACAGCAGAGTGGCAATCGCAACTGTATCCAGCATACACAGCTAGCGGGTAAATCTAAAATCACCTGGTAATCTGTGATCTTCATTAGTAGTTTTAGCACTCTGGGGATTTCGCAGATTAATGTCAATGTTTTTTTGACACATTGATTGTATGGTATGCGACCATAGATTTCTGTAAACTGAGTATAATCCACTCTTTACATGTGTGTCCAGAGAGTGGCTCTCGCTGGAAGAATGTAGTGGTCAATGGCAAACCCCCCAGTCCCAGGACATACCACACCAACTCAGCGTGCCAAGGGGACAGACTGTATGTCTGTTCTGGTGGGGAAGCAGGAGCTTCACCAGTCTCGGACCCCAAACTTCATGTCTTTGATACAGGTTTGTGTTTAATAAACCACCTGCCTAACATAATTGTATCTCCAAAACCCAGTAAATCTTTTCTACGAGGTATCTTGTATTACCACCAACCATATTGAGACATTTTGCCCCACAGCCAGTCCTACACGGAACGCCCCCCACAGATGTTTCCCCCCTATTTTAGGCTGATTAGACCCCTTCTCACGACTGAGTGGGCATTGGTACACTGTGCCTGATTAACATCTCCCCTCTTACCTCTGTTGCACCTGTTATGGCAGGCCAACTTGCACATTTAACATTTTCATGAGTAAATAATGTTTGGCGACCTCCTGTAACTCCCGGCATAACTGCTCTCAACTTCAACCTGAGCAGAGGTCTAATCAAGAAGAAGAATTGGAAACACCTGCGTGGGTGTTCGAGGCATCCAGCCTAGTTGTGATTATATTTGGGGGAAATATTAGAGATATTTTTGATTGCAAAAATAACAATATGAACATTTTGTGTTTTGTTGAAAATGAATACCAAATTAATTTGATGGATGAGAAATCATAACAGGCTTTTTTTTTACTGTAGATATTTTGACTTGTCATATCAGGGAAAGCACAGGTGTAACTAATAACCTTAATTAGTAATGGCTGCAGTTCATTGAGGTGTGTCAGGCCCTGTGTTTGTGCATACTGGCTCACTGGCAGTGCAGACAGGGACACTTAAATGTAATAGAGCCATCATTAATGTTATTAATAACACCTGTGCTTCTCCGGCAATGACAAGTCAACCTGTCTTCTGTCAATAAAACATTTTCGAGGGTTTAGTAATCAACTTGAGTCCTTAATCGATGAACAGATCCATTGTCCTATTTAAAGGAAGCAGTGATTGTAAGTTTAACTGTCTGATGCTACTTGACTCCATATTATATACACAGTTGTATTGTTTGTGATAGATTTTCACTGTCAGACATTTTTAATAGCCACCAATATGAATGCGGAATCAACCCTATTGAAGGTGTGACTATCTCATTCTGCCTCAAATGTGTGAATGCTATTATCTTTCGGTGTTCCCAGTGTCTTCCACCTGGTCCCAGCCAGAAACACAAGGCAGAAACCTGCCAGCCAGACATGGCCACATTGTCGCTGCAGTTGGTTCAAAGATCTACATTCATGGAGGCATGGCTGGAGACAAATTCCACAACGATATGTACTCTCTGGATACAAGTAAGCCCTGAACGCTCCTGAACCATAATGAGAAGATCAGAGTTGCATTTATCTCAATAATACAGGATGAAAATCAGAACTTGGGAACCTTTGTTTTATTTAAGAAAATAAAAGTGTCTACTTGTTTAAAGGGAGCATGAAGTGGGAGAAAGTGCAGGCCAGAGGAGACATCCCACCAGGAGTAGCAGCCCACTCAGCAGTGGTGCTGGGCAACAACATCTACATATTTGGGGGGATGACTGCTGATGGAGCCGGCAACTCCATGTACAGATTCAACACTGGTACATCATTTTTCAGAGGCCTTAAAATATGTCGCTTCATGTAGTTTATTACACATCGTCTATGAATGCTACAGGGCAGTATGATGAAAATCGTAGCGATTTTTAATACTTAAACATGGTTAAATGTTCTACTTCCTGCTTGCAGATAAAAGCAGATGGGTCCTCATGAAGTTTGAAGGAGATATGCCACCCAACCGCCTGGACCACTCCATGTGTTTATTGCCCTGGACGGTGTGTGGTGACAGGAATGGAGAGGAGCAGCCAGCCAACAGCCCGGCAGCCTCAAAAACAATAAATCTGGCCTTTGTATTTGGAGGAATGGACACACAGGGTGTCATTCATAACGACTGCATTGTGACTTTAATAACATGATGTTCGTTTACCCAAGTTGTAAGGAGTACTTAGTAATTGCATATTGTTTTATTAAAACATGTTAAAGCTTGTATTGTCAATACTCTGTATTAAGATAATGCTTATCATTTGAGCCATTGGTAAAAATATTTAAGTGTTGTAAATAATTGCAACAAGAAACAATTCAAGCACCATTTTGTATCAAACATTTATTTCAATGCCTTTCCAGAAGTACAATGACCAGATTCAAATAAATAACTTTTAGCATTGCCTGTGAACATAATTAGCTCTGGATCCCACAGACACCCCCCACTTGACGGACCCACAAATCCCTGTGCCCTCCCTCTAAATCCCTCCCCACTACAGAACCCCATCAGAACTGCCTGAGAACAGCAGCAGCAAGCCTCGTATTCCGGGCTGACGAATATCTCCGCCTTCCAGCGAAGAGAACACCTCTCTCTCACACTTATTTTAAAGTCTTTCAGAAGATTCAGTATGGTTGCTTGTCATCGCCACCCCTTCCCAACCATTCCTCTCACTATTTGAGTCCCATCAGTTCAATATATACATCTAGATGCAACTACCAGAGAGGCAAGGGGCGACAGAAGAGCTGACTTCAAACTCTGCCTACAACTCGTCCTTCTCCTCTTGCTCGCCTTCAGCACCCTCGGGTGGAGGGCCGCCCGCACTACCGTACAGCTTGCTGATGATTGGTTGAACCACCTCCTCCAGCTCCTTTTTCTTGGCCTGGAAGTCTTCCAGCTCAGCTTCCTGGTGGGACTCCATCCACTCGATCTTCTCCTCCACCGCCTTCTCGATGATTTCCTTATCCTCGTCCGACAGCTTGCCGCCGAGCTTCTCCTTGTCGCCGATCTGGTTCTTCAGTGAGTAGGCGTAGCTTTCCAGCTCGTTGCGGGAATCGATCCTCTCCTTCAGCTTCTTGTCCTCGTCGGCGAAGCGCTCGGCGTCGTTCACCATGCGCTCGATGTCCTCCGGCGTCAGGCGGTCCTGGTCGTTTGTGATCGTGATCTTGTTCTTGTTGCCCGTGCCTTTGTCCTCGGCGGTGACGCGCAGAATACCGTTGACGTCGATCTCAAAGGTGACCTCAATCTGCGGTACGCCACGGGGGGCAGGAGGGATGCCAGTCAGGTCGAATGTGCCCAGCAGATGGTTGTCTTTTGTCAGTGGACGTTCACCTAGAAAGACAATCAATATTTTATTTCTGCATGCAAGGAAAATAGTAATGATGCATGTTAAAGAACAGATTTTTATTCATTTATTTTTTTATTTACTCTGTCCGTATCTTACCTTCATAAACTTTAATGGTGACAGTTGGCTGGTTATCAGAGGCTGTGGAGAAGATCTGGGATTTCTTTGTGGGCACCACAGTGTTCCTGGGGATCAGCTTGGTCATTACACCTCCAACGGTCTCAATACCGAGGGTCAGCGGGCACACATCCAGAAGAACCAGATCACCTGCAAGAGAGTCAAATATTTAGTAAACAAGTTTGAGTTTGCAAACTCTGTTGTGTCAAGCGGACACTACGGTGTATGAGGAAGATGACTCACCGGTGTCCTCTTCTCCAGAAAGCACTCCAGCCTGCACGGCAGCTCCGTATGCCACAGCCTCATCGGGGTTGATGCCCCTAGAGGGCTCTTTGCCGTTGAAAAGCTCCTTCACCAGCTGTTGGATTTTGGGGATACGGGTGGAGCCTCCGACCAGGACAATCTCATCGATGTCGGATTTCTTCAGGTCGGAGTCGTCCAGCACTTTCTGGACAGGCTTCATGGTGGAACGGAACAGGTCCTGGCAAAGTAAAAAAGACGAGGTTAAAAGGCTTGTTGAATAATGATGTCATAAAACAGGTATGTAGTGTGTATATAGCAATTGTTTTTACACAGCTGAATCGGTTGTGTAACATACCATGTTGAGCTCTTCAAACTTGGCACGGGTGAGGGTCTCGGAGAAGTCTTCTCCCTCGAAAAAGGACTCTATCTCAATGCGGGCCTGGTGTTGAGCAGACAGCCCCCTCTTCGCCTTCTCGACCTCCCGACGCAGCTTCTGCACGGCGCGGTTGTCTTTGCGCACGTCTTTGCCGGTCTTCTTCTTGTACAGCTTGATGAAGTGCTCCATGACGCGCTGGTCAAAGTCCTCGCCTCCCAGGTGAGTGTCGCCATTGGTGGCCACCACTTCAAACACGCCGTTGTCGATGGTCAAGAGGGAGACGTCGAAGGTGCCACCGCCCAGATCGAACACCAGGATGTTCTTCTCGCCGTCCCTCTTGTCCAGACCGTAAGCAATGGCGGCAGCAGTTCTAAAGAATAAAGTCAGGAGATTATTATAGAGAAAGGGAGGGAAGTCTTTTCACAATTTCCAAAAGGACAACAGATGAATTAATTATTTTTATTGAGACACTTACGGCTCATTGATGATTCTCATAACATTCAGTCCAGCGATGGTTCCAGCATCCTTAGTGGCCTGGCGCTGAGCATCATTGAAGTAGGCAGGGACAGTGACCACAGCATGTGTGACCTAAAGAAAACACAAGAACAATGGAGTCAAATATACATCATCTATTTAAGAGTGTTATATTGATGAATATTCTTTCATGGGGAGTTTTTTGTACCTTCTTGCCCAGATAAGCCTCAGCAGTCTCCTTCATCTTAGTCAGCACCATGGCAGAGATCTCCTCTGGAGCGAAGGTCTTCAGCTGGCCACCACCGATGTCAACCTGGATATGAGGCTTGCCCTTCTTCTCAGTGAGCTGAAGAGGAACGTGCATCAATATTAATGTACCAAGTATGTTTCTCAATACAACTACCCCACTGTGTCAGAGTTAAAAACATACCTTGAAGGGAAAGTACTTGAGGTCCTGCTGCACAGCGGAGTCCCCCCATGTGCGCCCGATCAACCTCTTGGCATCAAAGACAGTGTTCTCGGGGTTAGAGGTCAGCTGGTTCTTTGCGGCGTCACCAATCAGACGCTCACCCTCGCTGGTGAAGGCCACGTATGACGGGGTGATACGGTTACCCTGGTCATTGGCGATGATCTCCACACGGCCATTCTTGAACACTCCAACGCTGTAGGGAAACATTTCAGAAATGATTACTCATAAGGAAACAATTTTCAATTCAACAATTTCATAGTTTTCAAAAACAATCAAGACAGGTGCGTTTTTTTTCTTCTTACCATGAGTAGGTGGTCCCCAGGTCGATTCCCACCACAGTCCCCACACTCTCCCTCTTGTCGTCGTCATCGGCAATCACGGCGCCGGTCACCAGCATTACAACCCACAACAGTTTCATCGCTGCTTGTTTGATCTCTCAGATCTACCAAAAAAATAATCTGGGGAGGAGAAATATATATTGTTAAAAAAAAAAAAAAAGTGGCTTTGCGTTCATGACGTAGCTACCTAAATGTAGGTAGCTACCAGCTAATCGTAGTGCTGGGGGTCATTTAACGTTAATGGGACCTTTACCAATCCCCAGAAAATGTCAAACGTGCGCACCACAGTCCCTTCAGAGTCTTACGAGCACTGGCTAACGTTTTTTTTGTTCCAGCTGCCGGTAGCTAGCTAGCTAACCACGTTAGCGTGCCAAGCAGCCATGCGAGAAAATACTTTGCCATAATGAACACTTAAATGAGTTATTTTAGATTACAAATGTCGTGACTGCCCATTTGATTTTTTTTAAATTATGGTAAATAAATCACCATCGTTAGCTTAGTTAGCTTAGCCGGCTTCATCATGAAGAAAACCGTCTTCAATTGAGGTTCAACGTTGTAGAAAACACCAAATATGTCGTCGCATTATCAGATTCACAACAATGTTCGTACATACCTTAATCTCAGTATTGGCGATCTTCACGTTGCTTCTTAAAGCAAAATGTATATCTCTCTTTTTTCTTTCTATCCTATTTTCTTGCCTCGGTGAAGTGATGTTGAATGAACCGTGGTCTCTCAATATATAAGCCGTCACTTCTCTCCCGTCGTGGAGCCCCGTGATTGGCTGAGCAGCAGCTCGTTGGAACGCGATGATTGGTGGCTTGCAGCACGCTGTCCGCCGCTGATTTGCACACATCGGGTCGGGTGCGACGTCACGACTTTTGCCGACTGTGCCGATGCTGATTGGCTGTCTGTCAAGCGCATTCATGGACACAGTTGGAGCGAGGACACGCCACTCTAACGACTACAGGAAGAGTGCAATTTCACATTTTATACATTTTGTACATTTTAAGTTAGTGCTTATTCCCCTCATGAATTCGCTGTTGTTTCATTGATTGTGTGGATACTGTTGTTGGTATCATGAGAAGTAATAATGACTCACAATGTGCAAACAATGTGTAGTATGCGTGCGACTAATAACCTTAAAAGCAAAGGGTGTTACATCAGATTCACTGGATTGTCTGAATGTTTCATCAGTGACTGAACATGCAATTAGCCTGCAATAATTTGACTGTCAAGTTTTAACACGGGCCCTCTCTAGACTACTATTTTAGTGATCACATATTGATCACAGATCTATGTAATTATGTTTGTACACTGTGGATTCAGCAGGTCACACATATCAAACAAAACTACATACCCTGGATGTTCTAATACAGTCCTTTGTGTCAAAAGTCTAAATAGGTCAATGTTAGATAACTGGTTTCAAAAGACATAGACTTCAGTCTATATGAACCCTCTTCTGTTGTAGTGGCAGGCCTAGTCATCATTATTATATATATATATATATATATATATATATATATATATATATATATATATGTCAGGCTAAATATGAGGAACAGAGTGAGAAATACTGGTATTACAACAACAAAAACTGCCAATTGAGTGATATCAGTTCACTTTTTTTCCAAAGCAATTCAGCTTGTGTCAAGATTTGTTGTAGAATCAATGCTTTATTCAGTCTTCAAGCTTCACACTTAACATTCTTGAAATAAGTATTGTTTTTTTTGTTTCAAGAAAATTATTGAAATGACAACAAAAAAGAAATCTGTGAAACAATTCAATTTTTAGCTTTTGTTTGAGGGATTTTCTATAATAGATTTATACCGCAACATAGTTAATTTTTCATTTAAAGAAGACAGAAAAAGGCATGCGGTAAAAAAATAATAAAACAATACAACTAAATAGAATCAGGATTGCCTGAGATCCACTGCTCTGTACTTGGGTCAAGTCTTTGGACATTATAATAAACTGTTAGTTTGGAATAATAATTGATTTTACGTCAATTAAAGAGGATGTTAATTAATTAACTCAAAACAAGAAACAACCTCAATTGAATACAATAATAATACACATTTCCGTGATTAAGCAATGTAATTAGTATAATAGGATATATTAGAAGCCATGATTTTGTTAAAAAAATCTGAGGGTCATAATAATTTCACCTGTTTCAAATGTCATATTCTTCTCCTGCAGTACCTTACAGTAAACAGGTCCTAAATATGAATTTTGGACATTGGTCAATTTTTCTTTGAGTTTGCAGGATCGTACATGGAAATCAGCAGGTGCTCTGCAGAATTCACTCTCCAGTGACGTATTACTTAAATTGCATGTAAGTACGGTGATAAGAGACCTTTAAATCAACACAGAGTTTATTAGTTCATCTGTTTGTTCAGCGTAGCCCTGTGATAGACATGATCTGTGTTGAGATAGGCACAATGCTCAGCACTGTACAAATAAACATTATTACCGCAAGCAAAATGAAAAAAAAAATAATGTTTTGATAAAAGAAATTAATTAATGGATTCCTCTTGTTCATTAAAAGTTTCCTGTCACAGTGTGACAGATTACACAAAGCAGGAAAAGAAGTCAAAGTAAAGACAAACAAGTCACCATATATTTAGTTGTAAACATTGTTAGCAGTATTTGACAATTAAAACATACCAACCCAATAGAAGAAACAGGGATTTGTAAATAAAAAATGGTGGGATAACGCTATAGACTGTATAAATAATAATAAATAGACTGTATATAGATAACACATTGGATCCTCCTGCGACCTCTACCGGCAGAGACACCAACAGGGCCCAAACTGATGACGTGGTCCGGTCTGTCGTTGACCAGAGCAGCAGTATGGCCGACCAGAGCAGGCAAATAAAACTCGCTGCAGCTAAGAAAAAGGTAAAGTATTTAACAACTGACCCGGCTAAATAACACCAGAAGAACTGTCCCTGTCTCTCCTCTGTAGGTTTTGCGTTGCTGGTGTTTTCTGTCGTTGCGTTACACATATCTTCACGGAGCATGGGGTGTTGTCATTACACGTCGTCCGACCTCTCCGCTGTCGCTTGTCCCGCCTCTCTTGCACCTTTTGAGGCTTCTATGCGCAGGCGAGATCGGTGCTTCTTCTGGGCCTCTGTTGATAGCATTAACTTTCCCAGATTATGCTGACCATTTTTTAGCTTTTAGAGGTTTTTAAAATCATCTTACGCCGTGTAGCTAGTCAGTGAGTAACTTAACTTACTCCATTTGCTTAACAGTTTCATGTGTCTTTCCAGCTAACGTTAAATGTGGTTAACGTTGTGTGGTTATTAGCTAACGTGCTAGCTAACTAAGGCAAGTTAACGTTAGCAAGCTGGCTAACTAATGACTAGTTTGCTATGGGTGCAAATAATAATACGCAGCGTTCTCTCTTTTCTGTAGGATGGCACAATTATATAAGGGAATGGTCAACAAATAGCATTTTTAATACAAAGGCTGAGCTAGCATTGAAGCACAGTTGGGATAGAATGACGGGGACTGTTTTGACAGCTGACACCCCTCTTCCCCGTCGTGCTGTGTGCTTTAGCTGGGTGTGTTAGGCTAGTCAAAAAGATGGTGTTATCAGCTGTGAAATGTTAGCTTCACGAAATGACTTGTCGGCATACTTTGCTGTCCTACAATGTTCGTGGACGAGTTATCGTGGTGATAACACTTTTGCATTTCGCTGCGATTCAACCCCACAGTTTGCTGCAAGTTATCAACTTAATCTTGTTTGGTTTAGCAAGTCGTTGGACAAGTAAGTCCAAAGTGACAGTCAATGACTTGTTGGCTGTGGCTATATGCATTTCACTCTACAATAGAAACCGGATCTTTGACTAGCTGGGAGCAGAGTGGGAGCAGTCCATCCCTGCTTCATCTCGGATCATCATATTACTTGTTATGATCAATGTCTCAGTAGGGGAAAATTGGGCCTACTGCAATATCTGTGAGGAGAGGTAATAAAGTGTAATCTTGTTTAAAAAGGCAGCTGAGGAGATTTTGCTGCACTTCTTTCACATCTATTGTTTCCTTTTCTTATGTGCTGCTCAGCTGAAGGAGTTTCAGCAGAAGAGCTCCCCTGTGGGAGGAGAAAAGGGTGGAGGTGGTGGAGGAGGAGGAGGAGCAGGAGCCAAGAAGAAGAGGAAGCTGAAGGGACTGAGCCAACACGATGCACCTTCATCAGACAGAAACTCTCCAGACAATGTAAGTCGGTCCCAGGCGGTCTTTCCGTATGTTTACCTTATTTAATTCTGCCTTTGTTGGTCAAATAACAACTTCTCTTTCTGTGTGTCTTACGCCTGATTTCTCAAATCAAGTGTACAGAATTGATTTTCATAATGATTTGTAGTGGCCTGCTTGGTCATCGATCACAAAATGTGTTGAATTGAAACGGCTGATGTACTATCAAGTTTGCGAATGCTTTCCTCTTCGCTATCAAACACACGCAGTGCCAAGAACACAGTAGCAGTATTGACACTTCTGCTTGCCAGATGACGGGGTCAAAATAAAGAAAGAGAAGCACACTGGACAAGAGACGGAGGTAGTTTTAGCCCCATAAACAGCCGTTGCAGAGATATTTCCTCAAATGCTTTAAAGTGTTCCCATCCTGACTAGTAGTCTCGACACTTAAGACTTATCTGAATTAAAAAACATAGTTCATTTAATTAGATTATTTGCTGCTTGTCACTACTATTACATTTTAAAGATTAAGCACCCTCTGCTTCTGTGTGGTCTGCTTTAAAGCTCCTATAAGCAAATCGAGCGGTCATGTGACTCCAGCAAGAGCTTTCACACACACGGGCTGACTGTGGTTCAGGTCAGTTTTCCACTGACCATGTCGGTCAGTAGTTGTCTATGCCTGGTTGGATTCTGGGCTAGTTACAACTTGCTTGTTCTGATGCATTTCTTCTCCCCAAACATGTTTGATGTTGGTTGTTGAAGACCGGATAGACTCATGTGATCTGAAGCTGGATAACGGATGCTGACAATAACCAAATGGAGTTCAGTCTTAGGGGTCAGAGCGTAGGAGACATTTCACAATAATTGCCTTGCCATTGATGATGATAATTCGTGTTATTAAGATTCCCAATGATTGACTTGGCACAGGTTATGCTTGCCAGGGAAAACTGTGAGCAACTTAAGTGTGTTAGAGCTGATTGTAGAGGAAGCTGAAGCAATAGGAGAAATGCTGCACTGCCCCCGCATTCTTATTCAGATTTAAGTTGTATTTGTATTAGTACTTTACTTTTTATTCGGATGCAGGAAATATTTGCTGACCTCTTGGACCGGGCTTACTAGCCTCCTTATTACACACCCTAGTAGTCACTTGTTGTAGCTGCTGCTTCTCTGTGCCTTTTCTAAATCGTTCTCTCCCCCTTTCACATCTTTCATTTTCCACCCTTGTTTCCTCTTTCCTGAAGTTTGACTGTATTCTGAAAGCACTTAGTCAAAGCAATGGAGTAGTCCTGCCTCCTTATGGCAACAGTCAGGTGAGCCTCTGTCTCTCTCTCTCTCTCTCTCTTTCCTGTCTTTGTTTTCGCCCTACCTGTTCTTTATCTCTCTGCATCCTTCTGCTGTAAATAGCTGCTTCTCATGTTGCATTATATGTCTTGCTTCCAGATTCTTACCTCAAGTGCACGCTTTCTTTTTTTTCTGTCACACAGACTAGAAAGCATGGGACGGATTTGAGTGCAAATTCTTGCGTCGGTACTCTTAAATCCCTGTCGAGAGAGTGCATTAATAGTTCAGAGTTTATTCTGGTGTTGTTGGTGATTTTCTAGAGTTCACCATCTCATGTAGAAGTATGCACAGTGTACGAGTGTCTCAGTAGTTGCATGGCTGTGTTATCTGCGTCTTTGTGCATAAAGCAGGCATGCTTCTGGGAAAATAAGAAGTGTGTGTGTTTTACTTTTCAACTGTCTTCTCATTGCTAGCTTTGTGTTTGTTCACTGCCTGATGTAGATGACTACAGATGTCTTGCTTGCATTAGTGTAAAAGAGATGGGTTATTTAATGTGTCAGTTATTCAATTTAATGTTGTTATTTATACAGCATAGTCTGAGAGGGCCATGGGTAACGGTGGTGGAAAAGAATTGGGCGTTGTGTAACAGCTTTCTTGCTCCAGCTGTCCCCATAAGTAACAGAGCCTGCTATAAGTGCTCTGTCGACCACAGATATAGACACCATCAGAGGCCCTCCCTTTTCTTATTACGCTCTTATTTCCTCTTAGTCTGTGGACAACCGTGCATTAATCTGCACATATAAATTACATAATTGGGTCAACATGAACTGAAGATTCAGTACAGTAATCAAGGTTTTTTTTTTTTTTTCCCTTGCACCTAAAAGCACATAATGTTTGAGACATCATTGTGGTCTTTCTGTAGTTTTTTTTCCATCATAACTGCTCTTGTTCTTGCCATTAAACCAGTGTGTGCGTTTTCTGTGTATGTGTCACCTCAGGCCTTTGCTGACATGGAGGCCATCGGGTCTTCAGCGCCCCAGTTGCTGGAGGACCCACAGGGCGAGCCGGGTCATGGCTCGCCCGTGTCTAACCTCGCTAGCTCTAACGCCGCTACTAACCCTGAGTCTGTTGGTCACAACACTGACCTCCAGGTGTGTGTCTCACTTTCTGTCATTTTCTCCCTCTTTGTCTTCTCATTCTTACTGCTGTATGTCCTTCACATCTAAGATTATATGCCAAAGCAGAATGGCTCTAAAAAGCCAGTTGCTGTGTTATTACTGGTATGTGTGAGAAAAACAACTGATCCCCTCTTTGTTTGGGGTGTGCCTTGTCATCATGCAAATTATTTTTAATCAAATTGTATCACAGTTTTCATTCTCTGCCTGTTTGTCTTTCTACCTCTAACTCTCTTCTCCTCTTTTGATCTTGTTCTCTTTCTGCAGGACTATCCCGATACCAACGGCAACGAGAGTTTAACAGAAGGAAATAGGTTTGTTTCCTGATTCCTCACTGCCTTGTATCCTTGTTATTGAAACACACACCATATACAAAACAGAGGTTACATATTGATGTAAACGGACTGGGTATATATGGCGATTTAGATTTATTGCAACTAAGGGCTTGTAAAACCTTTGTAAACAGCTTATTCAATATTAGGCATAATAAGCAGTGCTACTGAGGCAATATATGCTGCTGCTCTAGCCATTGATTACAAATGCCACATAGTAGACTACATGGTCAACGTGTGTGATTGATTATTTATGTCTGTTATCCTGCAGACCGCTGTCTTCCACAGAGAGCCTGAGACAGCTCTCACAGCAACTCAACGGCCTCGTCTCTGAGGTACAATTCTAGGACTGCTAATGTGTCTGTCTCTCTCTCTCGCTCCGTCTTTGTCTCTCTCTGTCTCTCTCCGTCTTTGTCTCTCTCTGTCTTTGTCTGTGTCTCTCTCTCTCTCTCTCTGACTCACTCACTCACTCACTCACTCACTCACTCACACACACTTACTTCTTTGTCATACAGTGTTTTATAGTAAACACCATCACTAATTAGTACATTTATTTAGGGTGTGTTGCATCTAGTCTTAGCAGGAATGTACTGGAGGCATTTTCAGATCTACCAGTTGTCCCCAATCGCCTCGAGCACACTGGATGCATCAACAGCTGCACCCGCTTTATGTATTTCCTCTGAACTTGGTTTTGATTTGTTTTGCATAGTCAGCAGCACAAATCACAAAGAGACACAGTTTACAGTAACCTTTTATCTGCTGAGTGAAAGGATTAATAAGATGAGTACAGACACGTATAACACTGGTTTAGTAGTGGGTATTTCGTAAACATAATAAGCACACTGTTTTATAGTACATTTGAGAAAAGAATATGTTGCGGTGCTGTTGCCCCACTTGGTTGTGAAATGCAGGTGTTATAACTGCTGACTAAACCGATTGCCCGTCTGCAATGCATCCAGTACATTTCAGCTTTAAGCTCATAGAGACAGGTCATATATTTTCTCTTTTTAATTTGTGTTGAATGTGCTTGTTTGTGTCATTCTAGTCATCTTCTGCATATGTGAATGGGGACAGTCCACCTCTGGGTGAGAGGGAGCTGGAGGTAAGATGGAGAGCTAATATTTTCTATAAACAGAAAACCCAAGTTAGAAGTCAGTCATGTCATGGTCAGGTTCCAATCGTATGTAAATACTATTCAATTCACCAAGTGAGCCTTTAGCTCAAATTAATCATAATGTGATGCCATCAATGGAGGTGGGTGATTGATTTGTTGATGTTTGCCAGATTAGATGCCTGAAAAAGAAGAAACTAGCACAAAGCAACACAACTCTTCAATAATAATAATGGCAGTTTATACGTGTTCAGTGGTCTTTCTGTTAAACATTATCTATATCATGGTATATTTTACTTACATTTTACTCTACTTGTAAAGGTGCTATTGTTTGCCTCCATGTTAATATTTCACATCAGAATGTTTTTCCTCTTTGTTTGACTTTTGCCACTGCACCTTATCCTTCTCTTGTGTCTCTTTTATTTTTTTTTTTCTCCTGTCCCGGATGCATGTTTGCACGTGATAGGGTCGCAACCAGGAGCTGGCAGCCGCCCTGGAGTCCAGCAAGCTAACAAACTCTCAGTTAAATACCAAGCTAGACCAGCTGGTAAGAAGCTGTGTGTGTGTGTGTGTGTGTGTGTGTGTGTGTGTGTGTGTGTGTGTGTGTGTTTTATTGGAGTTGCCTCATTCTTGCCATTCTACAATTGCCACATCAGTGCATGCACTATATGCATTCTGCATGTCATCTTGAGTAACCACACACTGGAAGAAGTCATGCATGGATTACATGTTTTTTATTTATCTTTCACTTTGCATAAGGACCAATATGAGCACACTTTGGTCAGAGTTGTCATAACCTGATGGTAGATGCCTTATTGTAGCACAGTAATGAGCTCAAAGCTTCAAATAAGCTAAATGGTTAGCATAACGTAGATAACAGAACAGGTTTATCATTTCATTACTTTGTGCTGTCTGGCAGTCAGATGAAGGCTTTTGTGCCAGAATTATAGTTGTTTTCTAGGGATAGAGTTGCTGCATGGGTGATGAAAGACATGTTTCCCAAACTCGTATGTATATCCTTTTGGTCCGGCAGGCACAGCAATCTCAGGTGGTCTCCGATCAGCTACAAAAGGTAAATGTTTTTTGTTTTTTTTCCCTCTCTGTCTGTTCATTCCTGTCTTAATGTCTGCAGTCTACTGAATGTTCACTTCCTTTCTGGTGATTCATGAGCTTTGGTATTTTTCTTCCTTCAGGAGCGAAAAGAATTTGAACAGAGATCTTCAAAAGAGCAGGGAGGCATGCGGGAGCAACTACAGGTAACGTTTTACCCAAACGCATACATCGAATTTAGAATGTCTGAAACTGTGTCAAAGCCTCATTGTACTGCCATGTAATGTCAGTCCATCCGAGAACATAACCTCCCAATTGCTCACCCAGGCAAGAATAAATGATGTGGTCTGTCTAGCAAGGCTGAAGGACTGAACGTAATTCGCATTTAGTTAATGGTGTTCTGTAATGAGGGACATTGTCTCGTCTCACGTTGTTGTTTGTCTGTCCTCTCCCAAGGTTCACATCCAGACCATTGGTATACTGGTATCGGAGAAATCGGAGTTACAAACGGCGCTACAATACACACAACATGCTGCACGGCAGAAAGCAGGTGTGTGTGTGTGTGTGTGTGTGTGTGTGTGTGTGTGTGTGTGTGTGTGTGTGT